TAAAAAGGAAGTCTGTTCATGCTCTGCACTAAGCTCTCCGGCATAAAAGGGCTTTCACTGATATCTTTGCCATATTTGCTGCTCAATCCTTTAACCATCTGCTTTAGTCAAGATTTCTATTCAGCACAGGCAGAGAACGCAGTCATGAAGAAGCAAAGAGAAATCCGTTCTTTGACAAACATGGATGCCTCCAGTAAAGCACATTCACATGAAAATTACTCTGAATTAAAAACACTGATCATTTATTGAACAGGATGGAATCATTTCAGATTTAAAGTATTTTCAGAAGTTTGAATTTTAAATTTGACCGGACTTTTCCTTTAAAGGCGATGGCTACGACTTTCCCTCCTCCCTGCCAGTAGGTGGCGCACTCACCTGCTCTGGTTCTGTAAAGTCTGCCAGCTGGTTACCAGGTCGCAAACATTTATCTTAAAAGTTCGGAAGAAAAGCCTTTTTAGCCATTTTTGATTTAATCGGCACCGACACTCAGAAGCTGCAGAGTTTTATGCTTCTTTTTTGTTTTCTCCGACTGTTTGACGACTGAATCTGAGAAATCTGAGGTGCCTTGAGATGACGTGTTGAGAATAGGCGCGTTGTAAATAAACTGAATTGAAATGTAACACGGAGAAGAAGCCATTTCTCAGCGCTATCATGAAGCTACTGGGAACACCTGAGCTGCTGTCTGCTCCTATTGGTGCAGAATAAGGAAGAAATATTTATGTATTTTGGACCCGTCAGCATTTATAAAAGATTTATTTAATTTCTATATCGACTTTTTGGGTAAAATTTATATATATTTTTTTTAACAAAGCAAGACAATTTGTGGATGTATTATTTTTGAAAAATTGTTTTGATAAGAAGCTATAAGCTTTCTGAAAATGGTTGAGTTCATATGTGGACTTTGACTAGACCGCCTAACTAACGTACCTAATGCTGAGTTTGAGATTTAATACAGTATAAATATCCTGTATAAAATATTCCGTGTAAAGTCTACGCTATTTCTGACATTTTGAATTGAAAAAGCTTCCTGGATGGGAAGCGAAACGTCTTCGAACTTGGAAACAAAGTCCAGTGGAATGTTTTTAATATTCCTTTTTTGGATTTCCCCTTTATTAATTGCAAGTCAAAGATGATTGGTCAAACTCAGATAGCAATGGTGAAATTGGGGAGTGTTGGCCTAATGGTTGGAGCAGTGCTCTGAGAAGGTTGCTAGTACCTGGTGCAATCCCCACATTCTCCAATATGGGTCCCTGAGCAAGACCCTTAACCCCACACTGCTCCCTGGGCGCCGCACAATGGCAGCCCACTGCTCCCAAAGGGGTGAAATTCTCCATTGTGAGATCAATAAAGTTCAATTTCTGTCTTTTCTATTTCTATTCTGAGGAAAAAATGGAGATGGAGGAAATATCTGAACTCTTTTTACATGTATAGTTAATATAACTATTCCTTAAAACCAATGAACAGTGTTGCCAACTTAGTGCTTTAGTCGCTATGTTTAGCGACTTTTCAGACGCCTCTGGCACTTTGATTTCAAAAAAAGTTATTTCAAGTTAGCCAAATCACTTCAATTAAACTTAAGCTAACGGATAAATGGATGCAACTTGCTATGATCCCGGGTTTATAACAGGTTTAATGTTGGTGTGTGGAGACAGCGTGCACACTGGTGTTGCTCACAGTGGTTCTCAGTGAACTCAGTGAGCTTGTGTGTACGCCCAGACCAGGGGGGATTTACCATCGGGCAATACTAGGTAGTTGCCTAAGGCCCCAAGCAAACCATTTGAAAACAAACCATGCAAAGAGCAGTGTTGCCAACTTAGCGCTTTAGTCGCTATATTTAGCCACTTTTCAGACCCCTCTAGCACTTTGATTTCTAAAAAGCTCCTAGCGCCAAATCTAGAGACTTTTTTCTGCTACTGGAGACTTTGGAGACAACATCTAAAAGCAGCGAACTCTGCTCTCCAGAGCGAGTAGATTGGTAACCCCGCCTCCTGCTCTCCTCTATCTTGTCTGCTGTCATGATTCATGCAGCTATTATTTCATCCAAATGAAAAATGGAGAACAGATAAGCAGATCATGGCTTGTCTACAGTGAAAAGAAGGACTGGGTTATTTACTTTGGCCTTTTTGGAAACACAGGAAGGAGCAATCAGCTAAGTGAGCTTAGTGCTTGGAAAAAATCTTTCATTCCTTTAGAGACAGCATGAAAAGTCAGCTGAGTACAAAACATAGAGAGGAAAACAAGAAGAAAAGGGACAAGAAGAGAGGGACACAACCTAGAACAGATAATGGATGTCTATTCTATTAACATTTCTCTATCTGGATAATGGGGCTGTTTGATGTGTTGTCTTCTTAAATTCAGAGGGCCCCCTGCCTGTCTTTGCCTTGGGCCCCAAATTTCCTAAATTCGCCTCTTGACATGGGAGCTGATTGAGCTTCTTTCCTGAAATGAGGACCTTATCTGCTTTAACCCTCTTCCTGCCTGCTGTCTTCCTTGGTTTATTGGATCTTCTCTGTAAGGCAGTTTGCTGCACCAGGTTTTATTCAGGGTCTTATCAGAATAAAAAGGTGCTGAATGTGTTTGACGCGCCGAATCCTCCTTTTAAGGTCTTCAGTCTCTTCCAGGAGTCTAATCAGAGCAGCTGAGAAAACAATCAACCAAGAAATCCCAAATGTTTCAGCAGTCCACCACGTTTTGGTGTTGAAGTCTCAGCTTATCCACTGCATGCTCGCGCACACGCCTGGGATCCGTGGAACGTGTCCAGGGTCAGTTTCATGTCCTGTGCGTGCGCGCGCGCGCGCGCTCCTTTAAGTGGAAGCCTGCTGCACATTTATCCACGTCCGAGAGGATAAACAGTGAAGGACAGATGTCTGTTGGCAGATTCCTGCAACAGAGAAGCTCCGTGACTGGTCCGTGTGACCCCCCCCCTCCCGCAGCAGGAACAAAAAGACATCTGAGACATGTGGATGGGGAGGAAAGTTGAGAGCACTTGGTGAGGCCGCCGCAGCGCTCCGGTTTCATAAGGTCTCTGTCAGCCGAGGCGCGCAGGTTTTTACGCATCGCATCCATTCCTGTCTCTGCTGAGGAAACAGGCAGCGGGTCCTTCTGTGGAGCAGATAACAAAGTTTACTCTTTTTTTCTCTCTTTATCACTTATTTTGTTAGATTTTTATGCCCTATAAGAAAAAAACAAATCAACGCGCATTGATGGATGTTCAGAAACAGAGCTGCGTAAACTTGTGGAACTGGGAGGCTTTTTTTTCTGCATTCCTTTAAATTCCACCTGATGCGTAAAAAAGGAGGAGAAACTCCGGACTTCTCTGGTTCCGGCGCAGCTCCGCGGACGCGCGCGCCTCCCTCCCTCTCTTCCTCTCCCTGGACTTTCAGAAACCGACCAGAACTCCGTCCTGCTTGGAGCTCCATCCGCGCCGTGTTGTTATTTACTCATTAGACTCCATTAGAGGCAAGACTGAACAGGTTAGTGGAGGTAAAGAAAGAGGGAGCCTCGCCTGAAAAACTGGCTCCTGTTCATCCAGCGATGGTTTGACGTGAGTCACCGGAGCGACACAAGTAGATTGGGGGTAAACATTTTTTCCTCTTCTGACTGTTTGACTGTCTGTCCTCCCACCTCCACATCCACCTCTCTCTCTGTTGGATTGTTTACGCCACAGCAAAACAAACTCTGGAAAGCTGCAGTTTATTTTCCTCCGCCTGGATGATCCTCCACAAATTCCCATCTTTCCTCCTGAAACACGTTTTTTTTCACTAGAAGAAAGAAAATATTCCAGATTCCCAATAGTGATATGAGGATCAGCTCTAAGTTGAGCTTTTAAACTTGAGGACTGATTGTTTACCAACCAATCTTTCTTTTTTTTTTTTTTATCTAAGGGTGCTGAAACACCAAAGAGGGGAAAAGCGCATTCTGGACGCGCTGAAAGGCGCAGGGAGGCGGCGCCTCGGATCTTTTTTCGATGGCTCCTTGCAGCCTGCTTCTGCCTCAGATGAGACATTTCGCCGCGGACAGTAGCGAGCCGTGACGCCACGCCGTGAAAACATGACGCGTCGCAGCGCACGGAGAGCCGCAGGCGTCGGCGGCGGGTTTCCTGCTCCTTCCGATGCGCACCGGGAGCGGATTTCCCACGGGACAGCTGGTAAGCGCCGATCGGCTCCTCTGTAAGGTCCGGGGGACCGCAGCATGTAGCTGGCTGTGATGTGGCGGTTTGTGTGCGCAATGCTGAATGGAGATCCTAAAAAAAAAACCACTGACCCGATTGTTTTGATGTTTGACTTCCTTTCACTTCAGTGGCTTTTTTCTCCCTGGACGCACCTGCCAGCTGCTGGTGACTCAGGATCACTATGACCTGCAGTCAGATGCAGGAGTTATAGTAAGGAGTTTACAATCTGTGGGTGTGGGGCTTTAATGTGGAGAAATATAAATCAAATTGTTTGTAAGAAAGAGAAAGTAAAGCTAAAGGGCTTCCTGTCTGTGGTAAGTTGCAAATCCAAGAATCAAAGTGTTGTTAATCCACACACACAGGATCAGCAGCAGATTAGGCGTGTTAAGAGGGCAGGGATGCTGCCTCAGGATGTTTGGATCACACTGTCATTACCCCCCCCAGCCCCCCTCACTCAGCTTGGGGTACTTAATGTCCAAAAAGTGGTAGAATGAAGTGCTTGCAGATGAAAGGGGAATCAGATGATGTCTCACTGAGTCACTACTTGGAGGTGAACTTTCATTCTTGTTCCGTGACTCAGTGACTCGCTGACTCGTTGAGTCATAGATGTTCACCAAGTCTCTGAAAGCTTGTGGCCTTTTCTGTGAGGCCGAGTGGCTTTCAGATAGGGGTGGGTATTGCCAAAGAAGTCATGATTCTATTCGTATCACGATGTATCACGATACTTGAATTATTGCGATGCATTGCAATATTTTCTCCTCCATGTTTTGTTTTTTAATGACTCGGCGCAGTATCCCGCGGCCGGAAATGCTTGTAACACAAGGCAGCGTGCGTCAACACATCCGCAGCGACATCTACTGGACTGGAAGTTGTATTACACTTGTTTTTGGCTGATGATCGCCAAACATTCATGCAATTTTATTTATTAATTTTTTTATTAATAATCGATACTTGGCGTCAAGAATCGATGCAGTAGATCACGAAAATTAGAATCACGATGCTTCATCATTACAATTATTTTGCACACCCCTAGTTTCAGATGCGTTTCCATCTAATCCGCTTTGCAAACGCATCATTTAATGTGTCTAAATTGTTAGGTTTATGCTTTATACATCATGTGCATTGTTACTTTGTCAGCCGGATTAGAGAGAGTAGAAGGTCTTCCTTTACATTGTGGATGTCACTGTGTGTATGAAGGTAATCTAATCAGGACAGCCTTCGTGTCTTTAAGAGTACACAGGATATGGGCACATCTTGGAGCATGGATGGCGTGTCAGTTTCTGATACGGACAGCTAAGCATCCACATGATCCAACACAGACTCATGAGCTATAAGAAGCAGGAGATGACCTTCATCGGGGCTCAATCTTTGCCGGACGCTCGCGGACGTGATTTTTGAGCCCACAGCTGTGCAGCTCCAAGCATTTTCTCTTTCCTGTAACGACCTGATCTGGAATAAACTCTTTTTTACTCCTGTTTTTATAGTCCTTTTTTATATGGTTTTACCCAGTTTGAGTTAAAAGTAGTAAATAACTTGCTCCCAGGAAAAGAACCGCGAGGAAGCCCCCCGAGGCACAACAGCCTTTTCTTTAGGGGACATAACTTCCTCATTTTAACAAAATGAAGGTTTAGGTGTGAAGTGAAGGGAAACATTTTTAAAGACAAATTAAAAGTGACTCTAATACTATGTGACTCTGTGAAACAGATCAAATTAACTAACTTTAGCAGTTATTTATCAGTTAATAGAGGACCCCTGATCCAACACTGCAAAAACTGATCTAAATAAGTACAAATATCTTAAGAAAACTGTATTTGGCATAATTTAGGTATATAAATACTATTTTTCCCTTAAAATAAGGTGAGTAGATAATAGGCACTTGAAATTAGATTATATAATTGTTTATTTTCTGATTTTAAATATAAAGCATCTTATTCTATTGGTAAATTGTTTATACTAACCTGAAAGAAAAACGACTTACTTAGAGCTTACTTACTTTTTTTCTTGAAATCAGTGTAATTTCTCTTGATTTGAGCAAGAATGACGATAATTTGTCAATGGAACAAGATGATTTACCTTTAAAAAAGGAAAAACAAACATCTATAATCTGAAATCAAGCAATACCATATCTTATTCTCAGTACTAGGATACTCATTCCTTTGGCAGATCATATTCACCTGCAAAAAATGCAAACATTTATTTGCAAAAACTAACCTACCGGTATATTTTGATAAGTTTTTACAGTGTAAGTTATTTTAAGTCCATGAGGAGGGCAACCTGTGTACTTAAAAAAAAAAGCTTAAAACTTTCCTTTATCGTGACTCTTATAGCTTAGAGTAGCTCAGATTATCCTCTCTATAGTTATGCTGCTATAGGCTTTGTCTGCTGGAGGACATAGGGTCCACTTTTTCTCTATCTCTGCTTATTCTATCACTTTTCTCCAATCAGAAAGGAAGCTCTGGACTTTCTATCTGAGTTAGGGTTGTAAGGGGACACAGAGCTCTGTATTTTTATTTGAGCTGCAGCTTTGGTGACATGTTCAAACCTTCATTATTATGTTTTGCTTTATGCAAGTCAGCCGTCTAATTTCATTAGGACATAGAAAGACATTTTTATTGCAATGGGATACTTTTGCAGGGTGGTGTTTGTGTGTAGAGAAGCATTAGCATCCCCAGAGGTATGTCACACACCGCTTACCGAACGCCTGTGAAATGCATGCAGAACCAGTAATGAAACAATGTTGTTTTCCTTGAGCCTTCAAGCGGGTTCTCATGTTAAACAGGAGGGTTTGCTCTTGGCTCGGGGCATCTCGCACCGCCCCGTCACGCCGCAAGTGGCCTTTACTTCCTTTTAGTCAGAGGTCAGGAGGTCGGCGGCCCCGCTGAGGGTCAGGTACAGCAGACCGGCGTGTTCTTCTTACCACCCTCCTGCTGATGTGTGGTCTGGTTTGTTTTAACAGGCATGTGGCTTCGGTAGAATTAGCGGCGCTGTTATTTGCTGTTAAGGGTTTTAACTCTTTGTTGCTCAGCTGCTGATCAGAGTCGTAGAATGCTGGTTAGACGATAGAGATAAGCTTATATCCCAAAGGCTTCCTTATAAAAGCGATTAGTGGTTGTGAAACTGGTATTTTCTGGCATTTAGCTTGATGCTTTTATTTTATTCTGTTAAAGCAGGAGTTCTAAAACTACGGAAGAGGATTAGGGCCAGTGGGAAAAAAAAAAA